TGAATACTACGTTTTTCGTATTTAAAGCAAAGGAAAACTCCGTACGCAACAGATGGATTCGATATGTACTAAAAGATTTCGTATTATTTTGGCCTGACCGGATTGTCGGCCCGGATTGTCGGACTTATGGAGCAAATTTACGCTTGCATTGAATATAAACTAAACTAAAAATAAAACAAGTACCTTAATCCAAATATAATTTCAAAACATAATTTTTCATAAAGTGGACTTATCAAATATTTATTCAAATAACGATATTCCTAATAAATGATTTCATACAATAATAAATATATCAAAATATACTGCGAAAGTTTGGTTTTTAGTACGTTTTTCCAGTTATTTAGTTCTGAATCGATTTTTGGTAGTCCGAACACTGGTACAATCATTCAAATGTTGCCACTTGCGTTCATTCAATATTCAAAAAATATTGCGCAATATTTTTAAACTGATGGAGCTACTTGCTCTTTTCCGGTTGTACACATGGTGAAACGTGCTATTCTATCGATCTTGGGTTGTACGCACGTATGAACTTATGAATGTATGCATGCAAATAACAGTGTCTAGCCTGTTTTTGTGCAATTACGTTTTATTTTTTAAAGTTAGAACTTTTTTAGTGGTACAGGGTGTTCTTAAACCGACACCATGCTAGACGTCCTTAATTTTCGGAAAAAATTATTGAACCCTTCTTAAACAAACTTTCTTACGCAGAGAGAAATGTATGTATGTACATATTTTTGATTGTACACAAAACTGCGAATAAGAATGCACCCAAAACGATTTGGTTGTTTGTTATGTAATCGTTAGATGGTGATTTTTACTTTGTGTTTAATGTTGTAATCGTAATTTTTATAATTTTTTATCTAAAAAATAAAAAAATTAAACCAAATAACGATTAAGTTTGATCTAAGAAATAAAAAAAAATCATAAATAACGATTAAATATGAACAAAAAAATAATAATAAATAAATTTCCAAATAAATATCTTTGTACCAGAAATAAATCAAAACACCTTTATTATTTATATCAACTTTGAAAAAGAAAGCATTTAACCCATTTAACACAAAAGATGGTTCTCTGCCATATTTACTCAGAAAAGTGGAGCCACAATCGTCATTCAGAAATTTTGAACAAAATTTTAAAGAAACCAAGGGTTTGCCAAATCTCGCAAATAGGTTTCTCAGCAATTTGTTATATTGCCGTAAAGAATTGCTTTAATTTTGTATAAAAACATACTATAAGGGGTTTTTTGGTATGGGGAATCTATTCCTGCATTTATCGTGCCTGACTTAGTCTTATCAAACCTTACCGGTGGTCACATTACGTTATTCTGGGTTCGGTCCCGTGCTTGGGATAAAAAAAGACAACAAAAATGGATGCATTCATATATACTAGGGTGATCCAGATTAAAAAACCAACGAAACCATGCTCAAAAGTTTCGTTTAGATGCCAAAATAAGCCTCAGAAAATATGAGCCCTTAATATTAATATTAAGAATGCTCGCAACGCACTTTTCGATTTCCCATAAGAATAACACAGGAAAAATTATTTTTTTTTTAATTCTGATTTTTATATTTAACGACCGATACGTTGTATTGAAGTATTTTTGTAGAGAATTGAACGCGCTATAAAAAAGGTCTGAAGTCATTTTTCGATAGGTCAACTCGGTCAAAAGTTATTCGAGGTCAAAGTCGAATGCACCATTCTGTTCCGAGTTGACTTATCGAAAAATGACTGCACACCTTTTTTTTTATATAAAATTCAGAAGTAAAAAATACCATTTTTCCTGTGTTATTGTTAAGGGAAATCGAAAATAATAAATAAAATAAATTAATATTAAGGGCTCATATTTTCTGGGACTTATTTTGGCGTCTAAACGAAACTTTTGGACATGGTTCCGAGGTAAAAAAAGAAATTTTTTTCTGAATCACCCTAATACAGACATATCATACTTTAAGATGCCATACATGTCGAAGACGTAATGAAAAGTGTAAAAATATTTTTTTTCAAAATTCGAAAATAATTAAAATTTTAAAAAGTTTTAACGAATTAAAAAAAAAAATTCCGCTGCTACAGCGAAGTTAGTTAGTTGCAAGGCAGCAAGCTACCAGGACAAGTTAGATGCAAGTCAGCAAGCTACCAGACAAGTCAGTTGCGAATCAGCAAGCTATAAGTTCAGTTGTGTTTTCAAGTCTTGTAAAGTGTTTTGATTGCCTTAACAAGTATTTGTTAATTGTTGTTATTGCTTAAACAGGTATTGTGTTACAACAAGTGTTTGTTGTACAATAAAGTTAATTGTACTGTAATTTGGTTATCGTGAGCGTTTATCTAACAATCCAGCGATACGAGCCGAAAGGATTTTGGGAAATCCGGCAAATATTCAAGGATAATCGTAACACTTCTTACTGACTATTAACTTACTTAAGGCTAATACAAACTATTCAAATTAGTTCGTAGATAAATGATGACCAAAACGCAAATAGTTCAATTGATTTATTAAATGAATGAGAGATTAAAAAGATGAATTCAACAAAAAAGACAACTGATTCTTAGAAATTGAAAAATCAAACGAATTTAAATTCGTAGCGCTCGTGCAACTGGTGCATTGGATGCGAAATGGGTTTTGAGTATCTTAAGATAAAAAGGGTAAGAGCCTTTCTTGTGTTAATGCGTTGCAAACGAAATTCACAATCAATGTGCCTTTGAACTAAATTAAAAACAAAAGACAGCGATAGTATCGACCTTCTGCGTTCAAGCGGCTTTAAGTTGATTAAAAGCAGGCGGGAGTTATAAAATGGAATAGGGTAAGAAAAATTTAAAGATCTCACAGCGAATTTCAGAAATACCTTTTACACCGGGTCAATTCTTGTGAAAGCAAATTGATGAAAAGTTCTCCAAATGAGAGAAGCATATGACCGAATAAACGCGCATCTGAAAAGTTGGAACTATTTCGTCATACAAAACCTAAGATCGAGTAGGATTTTGAGATAATAAAACTTAAGTGATTTGAGAAAGAGAAATGTTAGTCAAAAATTTCTCCAAGGTATTTAATCTAATTCACAGGTTGAATGAAATTATTAGAGACATTACCTTGACGATTGCAGAGGATCACGAGATTTGGAGTAAGTGATTTGAAAAAGATTTTTAATATTTAAAGATATACAGGAACTAGTACTCCAACAGGCAAGTTCATTGAGATCAGCCTGAAGACTAACTACATCGTTGCTCATCTATAAACTTGATCTTCTTGGTCTTCCACCTAATTTTCTACGTTGGATCTCTTCATACCTCTATAATACATCACAAAGGGTAATGTTTAAGAAATTTCCTTTGGGATTCGCAATAAATAGCATTTTCAGTTTAAATGAAACCATTTTAAAATTAAGTGAAACCTTTTTCAAATTAAATGAAACCTTTTTCAGTTTCAATGAAACATTCTTAAAAGGAAGTTTCATTTAATTTGAATAAAGTTTCATTGAATCTGAAAAAGGTTTCAATTAATTTGAAAAAGGTTTTGCTTTACCTGAAAAAGGTCTCATTTAATTTGAAAATGGTTTCGCTGGACCTGAAAAAGGTTTCATTTAATTTGAAAAAGGTTTCGATTTGTTTGAAAATGGTTTCATTTAATTGGAGCCGATTAAAACTTGTTAATCTTCCTACACTTGCCAGTCGCAGGCAAATGCTTGGTACAATTTTTATAGTTAAATTACTGGCAGGCTCAATTTCAAGTCCGCTTCTTCTGTGTGAAGTTAGCCTTAATGTTCCCTCCCGGGTATCAAGGCACTTTTGTCCCCTATTTCTGAAAGCTTGTGAACCTAATTCTGAATTGCTTATGCCAGGATTTTAACTCTCATTCCAGCACGTTTGATATATCAGATCCGCTTTTCAGCATTAAGAAATCGATACTGTCCTCTCTCAATAAATGAATCATTAAAATAAAGACATAAAATCGGCTGATGTATTTAGTTCTGTAGCTGAACAGTTTTAGATCTTGACACTTAACAAACTCCTGCCTATCGTGACTCGGCGCAAAAATTGAAAATTCTGGTTCCGTACGTCATGCGGACTGCGCCCCTCGTGCGGATGGGCGGGAATGGAGGGTAAAAACCGTTGGGATTATTATTAAGTTTCTTATTCCTGCAAAAATTCTCAAGTCATCTGCGTATAATAAGTGCGGGCTTATATTCAATACCCTTTCCCCGAAATTTTCAAAAAAATTAGCTTCTGATATAAAGATACACCTAACCTAAGACTTAACTGTTATCGATGATGTCATTGCTAATCTTATAAATAGCTTTTCAGTAGAATTTACCATTGGATTGTAAAGTTAAATCTAAGTGTTGATGACCCAGATGAGGTCTAACACCAGAAGCCTGTTTTCATGAAAATTGCAGATAGAGGATCTTGAATCTAAGCCCTTGATATTTTTTTTTAAATTTTGTATGTCACATTATTTTCGATTCTGAACTAAATTAAACTAAAAACTAAATATATCAAATTCCTAAATCAAATCAGCGACCTTAAAACCCTGGATTAACGGCTTTCAGGCAAAAATATCGGTATCAGATTGTTAACTTTAACCGACGTTCTCTCTAAGTTTTGTTTTCTGACGATAGATCCCTTTTAACTGTGCAAAACAGAAATACGTCCTTGTTTACATACGTAATTTTTTTTTAAAGATGATAACCCCGTACTAATTAATGCCGCTTTGTTTATTTGTGCACAAATTTGTAGTTGTGTAATATATATATATATTAAGAATGATCAATTAAGCATCAGAGAATGATTGTGATTTGCTTTAGGCGCAATGGCAATCAGCTTAGCTAGCGAGATGATCACTCAACACAAGTTGGACAAGTCGTCTCAGCGAAATAACAAGAATACATATTATGAATGCAAATACACAACTGAAAGGTTCTAACATTACAAATCTGTATAGTCTGTTTAGTTTTGAAACGCGCGCGAATGTGGATAGACACTAAACCGAAATAAATCCATTAAGTGTTTCAATTTTGTTTAATCCGCGCTCAGAAGTACACCCGTGAACATGCGTATAGATAAATAAGAACTAAAAAAAAAAAAAACAAAAAAATCAAAATTAAATTTGTGTGAGATCAGTGCAAAAGTTCACGTAACGCAAGTGGAATGTCACAACAAAATGGCATTTCCGTCGATGCTGCACCGGAAGCAGCGCAGGCAGAGCCAAAAGGAGCGCTTGCCTACTTGAAAAAATTGTGGGTTTACCGCAAGTACTTAGTTATTGAACCGTTTTTCTTTTTCTACTTGATGGCCAGTATTTTCAATGCAGTTGCAATGCAAAATTTTCCACTTGACAAGGTAACGCTTTTTTTTCGCCCGAGTGCATATGTAAGATATGTATGTATGTACTTAGTCACACTCTGGATCTTTTAGGCTTGCCGCGTTAATTTAGGATATAGTAAACTTGTCTGCGATACGACTTTGGACAAATCGGAATTGGGCATAGAATGCGAAGGATTCAGCTTTGATAATACTACGCTGGGCGCTACGGCGCAGGATGCTACGCTCACCATTAGCTCAGTGGGCTTCAATTACACTGTCTGCAAAGCTGAAGTCGAGGCGCAGAAATTAGCCGCAGATGTATCCGGGAAACGTGCACCTATCGGTGTGTATTTCAATATTTGATTTAAGTGAAGTGAAGTGAATTTGAAGATTTCAGATTGCATATGGATGCGATCACTGCACTGGTGTTGCTTAAAACATAAATCCCCTAAACGTTTGTTGTTTTTTTTTTTATAGAAAAACCTGCTGCTGGAATTTAAATTTGCATTTCGTGTTTATCAAATTTAGCAAATTCTAAAATGTCTAAGATTTAGAAACAAAGAATAAGTAGCAATGTTTGTATGTATAATTTGCTGGAAATACCCGTTCCTTTGTTATTTGCTAATTGTCGGGCGCGCGTGTGCTTTGTGTGTGAAAACAAGTCAGAAATATTTACTTTTTAAAAATTCTGCGCCTTCATATCCCCAAGACATGCTTAATTTGAATGTGATTTTGTGTTTTATAATTACATATATACATAATATTTGGGATATTCAGCAATGGTGTCGTAAGTGTACTATTGTTTTATGAAACTGCTAAAAATATATGATAGTGCGTTCGTATAGGTACAATAAAACTCTTGTTATAAATTACACACTGTTAAAAAATAGTTGGCTGTGGTTTCAAGTCCTGCCAAATATTTATTTAACCATTTAAAGTAAGACGACATACAACCTAACGGCACTTATGATTATCGCACAGTGGTAGATGCCAATTGCTCATTAATAGGCAAATTAGTATTTGTAGCATTTTGCTCAGCTGTGAAGAAATCTGAAAAATCGCTCAACCCGGAATGCAACGACTACTAGGGCAAGATGAACATTTGAAAAATTTTGGACTGAGATTATTTACACTCGTGAATGGAAGATCGACCTATATTTGGCAGCCAGTTCGAAAACGACCATATCCCAGAGAAACTTTTCAAGAACGCCCTATCTTCAGAATTTGGTTGAAGCGCCCTATCTCCAAAATTTGATTGAAGAACGATTTTTGTCATAACTCGGTTAAAACCGCCCTATTTTCAACATATTTTAAGTTCAGATAGGGCTTTTTTGAGCCGAATTCAGAGATAGGGCGTTATTCTACCAAATTCTGAGATAGGGCGTTTCTCAATAAAATTCCCTTCAGGTGTCAATTTGTAATGTATTTTTTTAGAAATTTTAAAATGTGGCTATTAAAAAATTTATAATAATTTACCTTATTAATTTTTCTGTTTTTATTGTAACAACTATAGAGGAATTGAAATTGCGTGAAGTTTATTTCAAACGTATTTAAGAGTTGAAATAAAAATTTGTTAAATACCTTAATTGTATGCAAATTTTAAAATGCGACTTCGTCTTTACACCCAAATCTTCATTTCTTCATTATTTTAATTATTTGTCTTTGTTATTTTCATGGCCTTATAACAATTATATTCAACAATTTTTATTGAGCTTGAGGCCGTTTTTATTATTTTAATTTAAACTTTATCCTTCGAAGGTCTTCTGCAAATCGATCAAATGCTTCAGTAATGATTTCCTTTTTCTTTTTTTCTGCAAAACCTTTTTGAACGCTAAGCATACAAAAACCCAAACTACAAGTACAAACTACGTAGAAAATATTAAAAGATTTTTTTTTTAAGTAAATGAGCGATATGATTAAGTAAAATTCATTAAATTTTTCGTTACAATTAATTTTTTATATAGAAAAAAAAACACCAATCACGTTCACAGTTGATAAAATTATCGTGTAACAATCAGCAGCTTACCAAAACTGCCGAAATGGATGTGAAGACCCCTGAAGTTTTCATTTATTGCCAACATTTTTTTAATTGGAAATTGATTAGTAAAAGCGGCATTACTGTCGTACTGATGAAAATTTGCAACACAGTTGCAACAGACCAACTGAAAATACGTTGCTAGAAATTCACACAGAACGTGATGCTTTAATAATTCGCGCAACACTGCGGCTGTGATTGCAACTGGAACAAGCCTTTTATGTAGCAACCCTTGTTAATGCCGTAAAATGTGCATTAGAATTTTTTCGTAAAAATATGATTCCTTTGAATGCTGCTATTGCAATTTTTCGCAGAAAAAATTACTAAAACGTATTGGTAGACGACATGCCTAGTATCTTCTCCATTTAGTTGCACATTTCGAAACATTTAGAAACTTACGACTTTCTGCCACTCTCAGACCACTGTGCACCGTTGTGAATACCAAAATTTTTTAACTTACAAAATTATTATTATTTCCTTTTGAACTATCGAAGCCCATGGGTATTCGAGCATACCGAAGATATAAATGGCCATATCTAATAATTTGTTGTCGTGCTAGTATATTGTTGATCTATTGATAAAAAAAATCCAATTACTAAATCGCCAATAAAGGCAATAATTGCTCATAATTTTTTTTTCTGCTAATAATAATCGTAGTTTTTGCCGCTTTTCATGCATGTATGTATGTAATACTTGCGAACTCATCTTCAGAATTGGAAATCTTCAAATCACGGTTGAAAACTGGTTCTTTTAGTAACTTGTAGTTATGTGTTTAGTAAATTTTCGAGTATCAAACAAGTTTTTTTCATAACTTAAAGCTTATTTGCTTATTCTTTTTGTGTTTTTAATTATACAAACAAATTGATCAGCGTTTGTTTTAATCGACCTTTCTTTCAAAAAACATTAGTACATATGTATCTATGTATGTATGTACGAGTATGTGTATATTTGTATGTGTGTGCAAGTTTCTAAGCAATCCGATGAATGAATGTTTTCAGTTGGAAGATGCTTATTTACTAGAGGAATTTACTACTATAGCATGCTATTTTTATTGATTTAAAAACACTATAAAGTAATTATCTTATTGAACTGGATTTGTTAGTGATGGCAAAGCATTCGATAGACCTCACTTTTCAGCGTAAGTGTGGTTGTTGCAAACTGAACATTAATTTATTTATACAGGGTCGCACCACATATTGCGAAGTCTTAGGATATTATTTCTTTTTTTGTTATTCAATTTTAGTTATTTTTTTTTATAAAAATATAGCTCATTCTTTAACAAAACCCGTATAAACCCAAATTTCAAACTTTGTGCATTATTAAAAAAATTTCGACCTTTTTTTTTGGAAGATTTTGAGTATGTAGTTTGTACAAGTTTCAAGCGGCAAAAAATTACCGTTTTTTTTGGTCGATGATGTTACGGGTTTCTTCTATATAAAAAAGAAATTGTGTTTATTCGTTATATGGAAGCAAATATGATCTTTAGTTTCTTCCTGATTATCTTGTAGTGAGATAAATTTCCCGCAGGGACCAAATCTTGATCTCCATACCAAACTTTTCAGGCTCGCAGCGATTTTCTAGGCGGGCCCCTTCTTTTCGTAGTTCCTGCCAGATCAATATCTTTATTAAAAAAAAAAAAAAAAAATAAAAATAAAAATAAAAGTCATAATTACTAATTAGAATACCTACATACCAACATCAAGTAAGTATGTTATTAGCTCCTGCTTGCCTTAAGTGCGACGTGCTGAGAGTATGCTCTAGAGCAGTGGTTCCTAACCAAATTCAAAAAAATTTCTATACTTCCACGTACCTCAAATATGTTGCAGGAATATAGAGTAAGCGTAAACGAATAAAGGGTTGCTCTATCTATAAATAAAACACACATACAATTGTTCAAAGCCATCAGTATTTTACTTTTGTTATTTTTTTTTAGGAAATATACGTACATAAATATTTAGAAATTTTCAGAATTAGGTGTTTTTTCACTACATTTGTTTTTAAGTATTAGTAGTAATATTACATAAGTTCCTACTCTTTTTAGCCGCCATCTTTCCATTGATTGTTNTATATGTATTTATTTCACAACAACTGGCCAATTGAAATTTAAATGCACACCTATGTACATACATACATACATGTGTATTTATTTCCAAAGGTTTGCTTATTTCGGCGATCTTTTTCGACTCTCTGCCAATGGAATTCGGTGCATACTGCGAGGCGATTGTTCCAGCCTTATTTGGTGGACTTACATTTTGTTTGATGGCTGTCTACAGTTATATAACGATAGCAACACCGGAGGAAGATCGTATATTCAGGTGATTTGTCATTGTACATTTCTACTCACTGTATACATAAGTAAGTATGAAGAGATGTAATACTTAATTTATATTCTTTTTTAGATTTGGTATTTTTGCAATGTTTGTAACAGCCGTACCTTTCATCGGCCAACCGATAAGCGGTTTTCTATTTCAACAGCTGGGCTATATTTGTAAGCCACATTTTGTTTTTACAATTTACACAAACACATACATAAATACACATGAGCAAATCTCACGAGTTGGAGTTGATTTTTTAGCGGCACTCTCTTCTCTCGGTAGAAAAAAGAACAAACAAAAAAGAACAGAAAAATTGAAGCTAAGTACAGACGATGTTTCAGGGCTAATATTAACTACTTTTAAATACATAATATGGCTTTTAAGTTGAGGCGTGCGAGTAAACGTGTTAGATGACTGCGTGTGGAGCTACGGGGCGTATACGTTACATACGCAACTACGGATATAAATATGAGCACGAGTGGTTCTTTTTACTTTTTTATTGCATCTTTTTAAAATTTTAATTTAATTACAATTTAGCGTTGGAATCTTTCTTTATACAAAACTGAAGACAATGCATTTTCTAAGAGAACTGTGCCTCCACACTTGTAAGATTTGCTCATACATATGTTTTTTGTATATTTGGGTGGTTCAACTTTTTTTTGCAGCCATCCCCCAAAATTTAAGAATATCAAAAATAAGTAGACCCGTATATATTTTTTTATATTTGGAAATCTCTTAATATTTAACCGTGCCGCCGGTGCTTCGAAGCTTTTTGGAGTTGAGGAAAATACAATTTTCCCTAAAATTGCTATAGAATCGATAAAAACAAATATTTTTAAATTAAATAAAAATATTTCCCTCCAAAAATCTGTTATTTTATGTGTTCGTAAGCAAGTTCTTAGTGTTGTGGTGAGTTTTCGTACTCAGTACTTCAAAAAATAAAAAATAAATCGGTACCCAATACTTCCTTTCCGGTACCCTGTGCCGACTCTTTACATTAAACCTTCGCCGCTTCGTTCAAGTTTAGAATAACATTTCATAACTTTCTTATTTAATGAAAAAATTCTACTTAACATCTCATTTTGAGCAATTTGGATCCAGATTTACGGAAGTATTGTAGTGTTTGCATTTTTCGAAAATACCGTTATGTAGGAGGTGGGCATGATGACCGTATAATTTCTCCCATTTCCACTTGAATTAAAGGAACCAACACTGAAGTTAGTCAAAATGAAAATAAAGGAGCACAAATTTCTATGTAAAGCAAAACTCTCTGGGAATCCTAGGAGACATCTGCCGGTCATATGACCGGTCATCTAAATGGGATATCTGCAGTCTTTTGGCATCATATTTTACATCAAAATTGAAGGGATTTCTGAAAAATCTGACCAGTTCTTTTGTGTAACTGTGATTTTGCATCCCTTGTCAACATATGGCCTCGGTTGATGCTAACTTAAGGTCGTTGTTTTACTGCCTTAAAATTGAAGGGAAATTTTTACAGCGTTTTTTATGGTATTGGTTCCTATTTTACTGTATTGAGAATCGTTCAGTCTGAAAAGGCCTTGTAGGGTAGACAATAGGTTTGTTCGTCGAAAATCCAGCGAGAGTTATCACTCAAAATATCAAATAGTAAGAAAAAATGCTCCCAAATTCTCTCTCATGTAGAGAAACTTGCAATTTTCTGTACGAACGCTAGTGTCCACGGTTGCATTTCAAACAAAAGAAGTTTGTATAGAATTTGTAAAATTCTTTCAGAGGGGCAAAAACCAGGATCTACGTGTATATATCTTGTCAGTCCGACTTTCTTCAACATACGTTTCAATTTCTTTGTCTGGTTTACTATATCGACTCTGGTTGAGATTGCTTTCCGATTAAGAATACAGTTTTTTTTTGCCAAGTACCTTTCAAATCATTGGAATTAACTAAATTAATTAAGTAAACAAGTATTAACTTACATTTTTCATTTTAAAATCGCTCCAGTTTGTAAATTTTTAAATTTAACGAACTTGTTTATTCAAATTATCGTCGACAAAAAATCCAACCATGAGCCACAATCATATGTTTTTCCTAATTGCAAACTCTTCCTGGCAAAGTTTTTTCGGGCTCGAATTTGTAACTTCTCTCCAAGAAATAGTCTTTTTACTCGTGATTTATTTAAATAAAACATGTGAAATTTAGTTGAAACATTTTAGCCGTTTTTAGCCGGTTTTATTTGCCAATTTAGCCGGCTCGTCCAAAAAGTTCTGGCAACACTGGTTATAATAGATACAGGTCTCCTTATTTTCTTCAGTTTTGGGGGTGGCAGCGAGAAAAATACAAAAAGGGGATTTTTCCGTACATTTTTGATCACCCCAATTTACTTGTACGCAAAACTGAGCGATTGTTTTTTTTTTATTTAAAATTAAAGTTTTTTAAATTAAAATTGTCGCTGTTTTTTATAAAATTGGTTTTCATAATCTAGCAAAAACCATATAAATCAATGATTAAAACTTTATACAAAATTTAAAAAAGTTTTCATCAAAATTTCGAAACTTTCAATCTTAATTTTTGGAAATTGGGAATGCAGTTTTACAGCCTACGAAATTTAAGTTCAAAGAAGTACATATTTGAAACAGCTAAGAAATTCGCGTTGGTATTTAATATTTTTTGCCGATGAAAATTTGTTTTTTTTTTAATTTTGTATTGCGTTTGAAACATCAGGTGTATTCCCTAAGCACGATCAGTACACCCTACATGAACAATATTTTTATAACAAATTAACAAACCAGAAAAATACTGTGAATATTAAAAAAAAAATCCTCAAGCACTCATAGGGTATTCACAACGGTGTCGTAAGTATCGTATTGTTGTATGTCGCAAACTTTAAACGCCTAAAAAATATATTAAGGAGGTTTGCAAAGTACCATCGAAGTCATATTATGAATTTTCGAAGTTTTAAAAAATAGTTGGTTGTGGTTTTAAGTTCTATAAATATTTGTTTAAGCTTTTAAAGTATACGACATACAACAATACGACACTTACGACACCGTTGTGAATCTCTCATCAGTTTTGATCGCTGGGTTATGTATATCCTTCACTTCAAGCACTTGTTTATTTTCAGTTTCCTTTGGAATGGCTGCCTCATTTCAAATAA